CTTTTTTCATTTACAATTTCAGATTTCCTTGCAAGGCTGCTTAACATATTACTGAAATATCAGAGTGGTCACCATTGCTTTGCTATCATCAGTGAGGTGCAATATTAATAAATATTTTTCATTTACCGTATCCATTAATGAACAATTAATCTGAACTAATCTGATCAATTTTAAAACTATTTTTTTGATGAATAAATGGGGATAATTTTATAAATCCTATTGCATTCAAAAATTGCAATCTCCATCCATGCAGCTTTAATGCATTTCTACTTAACCCATGAACAGCGATCGGACCAGAGCCATCCTTTTATTCACCATGCTGTAAATACTAAGGACCTTCCACTAATTATAAGGAAAAAAAATAAACACTGGGATATTTACTTAATGCCCCGACTTATAAGGTACGCCCTATCGCATATCTGTCTGCCATCTGTCAGTTGAATATTTACTAACAGGGAGTTTAGTAAAATTCTTCCTTTATCAAAAATTCACATGCTTCATTTTTAAGTCATCTAATTTATCTAGAATCTCTTTAAAAGGCAAAGAAAGCTTTGCAAGAAGTTTTGACTCTAGATTATTTTATTGTTGTTGTTATGCATATAGACCTGACAACTGTTTTCAACAGAGTGGGTCTAAACAGCTGGGCTCCAATTTCAAGAATGATGTCTGTGTGTCTTTCTCTATCCTTAAACAATGAAAGCAACAATTCTCAATTAATTGGCGTGCTGAAATCGAAACTTGCCTGCAATCATTTTCTTGCTTTCAATCAGGATGCAACAAACAAATATTTAACTGATGTTTGGTTCCAGAGGTATTTTTGAAAGTACTGCAGTGGATCTGTGAAACCCAGAGCGTTGCCTCAAAACACATTAAAAATAAAGCTGGAATATTTAAAAGGGAGTGACTCCAATTTCATCCCTCTCTTTTCTGGGTCCCTGTTAGTTTAAGAATAGAGAAATAAACTTTATTATCATTACACTGTCACAAGCACAAAGTAGCTAAATGCATTTTGCATCTATCCAGAAGTGCTATACAGGATTTAAATATTTATTTATAAGTGCACAGAGACTCTTTATTGACTATAAATGGTATATATTTGCAGACAGTAATTGTAAGAAGCTATAAAGTTTTATGATCAACTTTAAAGTTTTATTGTTGACATACAAACTCCCAAACTGCTACGATATGTTATAAAAGACCCAAAAACCAACTATTTAAATCACATGGAAAACATGATTTTAATTCACTGGCTTTTAAATGCGTTTGATTAAATGTTTGCATCTTTATTGCCTCATTTGATCACATCTTTACCAACTATGTGATTTTTTTATTTGATTGCATTGGCTTTTCATTTATTCTAAGCTTTTGTTTTCTATTTCTTGAGTACAGCACTATTGTTTTGATACATTTTCGTCAAAATAAAGATTTATTTAAAAGCAACACACTAAGACAATCTCCTCCTGAAGGACTATTGACCAGTTTGAAGTTCAAGTTTCTCATATCAGGTTAATACAACTAGGAAAAAAAGCTGTTAAATAAATAGAGATGCTATTTATTAAGCTCCTTTAACTGCATATGCTCTGGTGTCCCTCTGACATCTCAAATGTCATCACAGCTGCCTGGCGACCAGCTCAGGAGCACATTTTTTCCAAAACACAATAGACCACAAAAACACCAACTGTATCCCTGAGTCAGGAAGCAATCCCCTGTCAGGCTCAGAGGAATACTGCTGCACATTGAAACATGCATATGTGCAACACTGAGCCCTGGATCACAACTAAACTAAAACAGAGATCACATGTTTGTTTTTTTTGTCTCTGGTTGACACTGACAAAAACCACACGATTTGCAGCAGAATAGTTTTTCTTAGGTAATCATAGGAAACACAATCTATTTTAAATGACAGCACCCATCAGCTGCAGTTTCTTTACCGGTGTTGCGGGTATCCTTGGACACGGTGTCCTCTGATGGGAGAGAATCAACAACAGTCGCAGTCAGACTGCCTTAGCATCGCTACCATCGTCTGTCTCTTCTTTCCATATTCTGACCACAGCAGTATAGGAAATATGAAGAAAGCCTCTGTTTTGTGCTGTACTCGCTGACGTCAATGCAAAAACAAAAAAGAGCAGCACGAATCGGATCGTTAAGGTGGAGCCACAGCAGCCCAGAGTGCGACTGGTGAAACTGCACGGACAGCTGCGATGTAAATAGGCAGGAATAAACAGGGGATAAAATAAAGCAGTAGAGCATAAGAAGCTGATGAACTAACACTGTGATTTTTAATCACGGGAAGATAACATCATACCGTCTTAAAAGCCACCTTTTGTTTGGGCTGAGTACGGAAGTGCGTTCGATATAGACTCGCAGGGCTTTCGCGAAGGGTGGAGCTTACCTTAACCGTACTATTGTTAGCGGTTGTCCGTGTCGGTTATCCCGGAGAGTCAAAATCAAACAAATGCAAACCAACTCAACCATTTAAATAGACATGTTTCTGCTGTAAAACGCAATTTAAAAATCAACGCTACACAGATATTCAACATTCCTACGTATGTTTTAAATGACAAGCCACCAAGCATGTAAAGAAACCCCTATTGTTTCCGTGTGTGCTAGCTCGCTAAGCTAGCGTCGCTTTAGTTTGTAGAATGGATAAAGCAGACGGTACTCACCCGCTGCCGCCTCCGGTGTCGATGAGACAGCGCTGTCTTTTGTCGGTTTGTAAGCTTGCCCAGGTTTGTGGTTATGTAAAACAACTGATAAATACAAAAAAAGAAAGAAGCGAAACTAATCTTCCCACCCTCGGATTATTCAATTTAAACCTCACGTGCCGCACCAAAACAGTGCAGTCCCCTGAGTGCGTAGCTTTGCCTGCTAAATATAAAGGTTGGCGTCAACGCTTCGATGGGTTTTTGTATTCCAAAGTATATCATCACTTTAAAAAGGAAGGTTGTTTATTTCAGTCGCTGTAATGACCAGTGTTTCATTAAATGGGTAAATTTGTATTAATTTAAATAACAAGTAACGCTGGTCGCACATTAGAAACACAAAATCAAATCTGTGGGTGCGCACGATTTCCGAGCCAGCAAGGCGGGCGGAACGCAGAATAGGCGCTAATAGAGCTTAACTCCAGCACTGGTTATGATCCTGAAAGTCCCACTGGACCTCCAATAGATCCAATGGCGTAACAACACAACAATAGGCCCGTAAGCAACATTATCTGGGCCGGCCCCATATGAAGTACAACACCCCATTCGCCCCCATTAGGAAGCTTTTTCTGTTCTTCCAGCAGCTCTTCTTTCCTTTTTCTTTTCTGGAATCCTCTTAAGTATCTATGGAAGCCCGTTTCCACCGCACAAAAAAAAAAAAAAAAAAAAAATCTGATGACAAGCGTATTGCATTTATCAAAGGAAAAGAAAAATCTGACAGCTTATCTCATATTTACGAGATCTTTTCTAATAATTATGAGATAAAGATCTTGTAATTATGAGATCTCATTTTGTAATCATGAGATCTTATCTATATATTTGGTATGTTTACTTGAGCCCATAATGTAGAATCTCTCACAAAACTGGTCTTCATGATTACTTATTAAGAATATCTGCATCTGTTCCACTGAACAGTTCTCTGTACTCAGGTCTAACATGATATGCGTTGGAGTTCTGCTCCTATTTTTCACTTCATTGTTAAATCCATCTATAACCCTGGGATTAGTACTTGTGGAGTAAGCATGCAGCGATATGACCATACGCGAAAATCCGTCAACAGCTCTATTAATACAGATTCTGTTTGGTTTTAGTTTTTCATATGAATCAACATGCTGCATGTAGTTGGGACCTGGTCGTTTTAAACGATTCTGAAGCTGTCACGATCTGATGATGGTTCTGTTTTTCCATTTCCACCTGGTTATTTAGCTATTTATGTTGCATGCTTGCCTTCTGCCAGCGCCAGGTTATTTGAGCAGCTTGGTGAGATTAACTAGTGATCTATATCTTGTTCTGTTTTCCTGATTGTGACCTGTTTCTGCCCTGTGGATATGGAGTGATTTTTCTGCCATAAACGCTTTGAACTTTCCCACTGCCTGTTTCGCCTCGAATTATGGATCCAACGTTCTGAGGTCATCACAGAAGCCTCAGCTCTCCTTGCGGATTTAGGATTTTGAGAAGATATCGATGGACAGTGCTTTTCAGACGCATTCATTTACAACCATAAAGCAGCCCGTGCTGGTTTAATTGCTCCTGCAGGAAAAGTGTGAAGTCAGAGTGGGCTTCTTCGCCTAAAAAAATTCTAAGGACTTTACAATGCTGACAAATTCAAATTAATTCAGTCCGGAAACTCAGTATTTCCCAGTGTCGCATATCTAAAAGGAAAAAAAAGCAGATTAAATCTAACAACCCACTCATTGTTCATGTTTCATGTAGCGGAGATTAGCATTGACTGTCCTTCCAGATCTCCTAAATATGATATATTATCTCATAATTATGACATCTTATCTCGTAATTATGAGATAAGATCTCATAATATTGAGATCAGGATCTCATAATTACGAGATCTTTATCTCATAATTATGAGATAATATCTCGTTATTATGAGAAAAGATCTCGAGATACTGATCTCGTTATTATGAGATAACCTTTCACATTTTTTTTTTATTTGGTGAATGCAACACACTTCCATACATTATAATGAGATAATTTTTTTTTTAAAGACTGGCGGAAACGGGCTTCCATAAAAATCAAAGCAGGGTTGTATGCCCTGTGTTATAAAAAAAAAACACTGCAAGTAATCTCTTTCTGAAGCTTATATTCTAAACCTAACTTTCTTAAACCGAGCCATGTGAGGAAAAACGTTTTCCAACGGGAATATTGATTAAACGCCGCTTTCCCCTCACTTCTGCCCGACCGTCACCCTGCCAACTGTTAAGGAACGTACCCGATTCGCTTAGCACCAAGGGCTTATGGGTAACGTAGTCCTGCGTCAAACCGGCGTCACGTTGTGAATCCAGCATGGCAGCGAAACAGAAAAGGTTTGTGTTAAATATTCTTATGCTGAGCGAAACATGAAACGGTGGTTGTTTTAAATCTGGTTGTTAATCAAGATATACCGCTCTTAAAACCAGGCGTGTCATTTAGGAGTTTATAAGGAAGAGTTTTAGATAACTTTGCTATGATTTAACTATCCACGCTGCCAGCATGTAGCATGTATGCTAACACGCTTCCTTTTAATCACATTTTCTTTTTACTACTGTTTTATCACACAGATATGGGACTAAATGTATGATGAAAATTCAAACAAACCCGACATTTAAACTGCTGCTTTTTATTTATAACCACGTTTTGTTTGTTTTACTCCCTTGTTTTAAATTGTCCATCATCTGCATTCATTTTATCTACTGTAGGAAATTAGAGGACCTTAATGTGGACGAGTTCCTGGTCTCAGGATTTGAGTCTCCAGAGGAAGATGAATCTGAAGAAGAAGCTCCAAAACAGAAGCAAAAGAAAGAAGCAAATCCTAAGATGTAAGTTTTTTGCTGTAGTTATTATATAATAAAGCAATGTAATAGAAGTGTCTGTAGAAGCCCCACAATTAATATGACCCATAATTATATGTTTAAAAAATGAAAGGAAAAAAAAAAGGTTCTAGGAGTATGAATACTTTTGCAACCCATTGCTATGAACAAACCTCTCCAACACATTTTTTTTCTGTATCATGTTAGCGGTACAAATGAAAAGAAGAAGGGAAAAGCCTCTGAGCATAAGGACCAGCTGTCCCGGTTAAAGAGCAAAGATCCAGAGTTCTACAAGTTTCTGGAAGATAACGACCAGTCGTTGCTCAATTTCGACGACACCGACAGCTCTGAGGATGAGGATGAAAATAAGTACCACAAGCTACCATCTCAACTAGAGGTAACCCAGCTTCTGCTTTGTGGATATCTGTAATGAAACCAAAGTGTATGTTGCTAAATCTGTTGTTTTTTTTTTTAATACAGGAAGCTAGCTCTGATGAGGAGGATGATGAAGCTGAAGCGCAAGCTTCAAAGAAGACCAAAAAGGCAGTGGAAACAATCAAAGTCACAGGCAAAATGATTGAAGCGTGGAGAGCTGCTTTGAAGAAAGAGCCCACTCCCCGACTTTTCAGAGAAGTCACACAGGCCTTTAAGGCCGCCGTTGCCACGACGAAGGGCGAAGGAGGCGGTCAGTGCCGCTATAAGGTGGCTGACAGTTCAGGTATGTCGCCACGCAGGGATGTCTGCATTTCTGATTCGAATTAAATGTTTTTGCTTTGATTACTACATAAAAACTCCAGGCTGATTTGTTTTGAATCCAAACTTATTAGAGGCTTTAATGCATTTTTGGTAGACAAAGATGGTCTATCTCTCACTTGAGCTGCTGCACAGTCAAAAAAACAAAACAAAAAAACACTTCAATACGTTTAATACAATAAACTTTGAATTTTGAAGTTGGACAAGAGCAATGATGAGACTTGGGACTGGACTGTCTTTGCTTGAGACTTGCAAAAATATGACTTGGTGCTCCCTTAATCCTGCAGAATAAACACAAAAAACAACTTTGAACTATTACTTTGCGTATTTTGAAGGATCAACTTAATTGTTCTCTGCTAGGCTTGTGGTTCTATTGTCACTCAGTGTACTGAATAATGCAGCAGATGTGGGTTCTATTCCAGCTGTTGTGAATTAGTCCTACATAAATTAAATAGAAATTAATTTAACTGTCAGTTGTTGACACCTCCACGGGCTGTTTATAGATTTCTGCGCATCAGGGACAGTTGCTTTGAAAAGTTCTGTATAAGTTCAGTTACATTTAACTTTTTTTTTCATTAGAACAATTACACTAAGTTTGCCTTTTTAAGTTTCCATTTTTGCACATTTTGAAAGTTTCCTCCTTCAACCCTGCAGTGTTCAACGCTTTAATCCTGTTCTGCATCCGAGATATTCACATGGCGCTCCAGAGGATGCTCAACCTGAAGCCCAACAAAGACCAGAACAAGTATAAAACCACCTAAACATCAACTGACATCACTTCCTGTTTGGCTTTAGAGATCTTGTTCTGATCCAGGATTGATTCCTGATTTGTCCTCAGATTGACGTTTCCTTCATCTAGTCCTAAATGGCAAAGGAATCAGACCGACATCAAGATATATCTGGGTGGAATAGTTCAGGTTTGTGTTTTGATGTGTGAAAGCAGAGTAAACACAGATTATTTAACACCATCCCTCTAATAGCTGCTTTTCTTTTCTATTCCTCCATCCGCAGTTGTTATCCTGTCTGACGGAAACAACCGTCATAGCTGCCGTCCTGAAGCACGTCAACCAGCTCATACCGTATTACCTGTGTCTGCCCAAACAGTGCCGGCATCTGCTGAAGGTTTTACTGCATAGGGTTACTATGAAGAGCGTTTCATGGTCAGAGTGCCCCTAGTTTCTAAGCTGTTACCTTCATTTTACAGCAACTTCTGAAGCAGTGGAGCAGAGGAGAGGAAACGAGTCGGGTTCTTGCCTTTCTGGCCCTCAACAAGATCTGCAGACACAAACAGGAAACGTATCTCAATCTTATTTTAAAGGTGAGCAGCAGGAGTTTGGTCATGTGTGAAAACCTTGTTCCGACACTTAGACCAAATGTCCCGCCTTCCCTGGATTAATCAGGATTATTTGTGTTGTGCATAAATTTCTCTCTTAAGTCGGTTTTCTTTCACCTTTGCAGCAAATGTACATTTCTTATGTGCAAAACTGCAAGTTCACATCTCCCAACGCGCTTCCCATGATTAACTTCATGCAGAGGACTCTGACAGAGATGTACGCCTTGGACACTCAGGCCGCCTATCAGCAGGCCTTCATCTACATCCGACAGCTCGCCATTCACCTCAGAAACGCCATGACCATGAAGAAAAAGGTCGGTTGGTGCAACCACTCATTCTCACTGAAAACCAGCATATTATAGGAGTGCAGATTTATGGCTGATCACAGATCTTTAAAAAGCCTGACCTGTCGATTCTCATTTCTACCGTGTTTAAGTTTTTTTTTTTTTTTCTTTTATAACTAACACCATCAGTTGTTATAAGGTCAAAATAAACCTTTAATGTTCTAATCTTATTTCATTGAAAACATGGGGCACTACCAGTGAAACAATCCAAACTTGTTTTAAAAGCACATGAGGTAGTGCCCTCACTGCAGTCATTGAATTATTATTTTTTTTAATTAAGGCCTTAATTGGCTTTAAAATTAATTAAATCTGATAAGCGTATTATTATTTAAAATCTTTATTTTAAAGAAAAAGTTTATAAAAACAAGAGATGGGTCCGATGGCACGCACAGCTGTTCTGTTCAGTTCTGGCTCAGTTCTCAGATAACAAAGAGCGCATGAGCAGACCGCCTCATCTCCTTACAGTCAGTCTCTGTAATCAACTAAAAACTTCAGGCAAATTTCAGCCATTCGTAAAAATACTAGCTTCCGTACCTCGCCCCGCGATTGCGAGTAATGATTCTGCTTAGCAGTGTGATGAGCCTCAACATCCATTGTTTTTTCCTGCGTTTGTAAGCCCTGATTAGTCTATTGTTTATCCCCTTCCCAAAGGCCAACTCTGTCAAGTAAATTCACCAAAGGCTGCCTTCTTCGCCTGACTTGCCGCAAACAACCAAATATCAAAATGATTAAAAAAAAATAATAATAACTTCCAGAATGTTAGGGGCGCCGCCATGGTGGTTTGCTTGTTTACCTCTAATAGTACCGTAGTTCGCCACCTCGAGGCCAGGAACCGTGCTAGCGTGGTGTGCAACTGGTAATAAGGAACCGTCGGCACGGTTACCTGATCAAAGCTCAGCATGGAACGGTTTTCAGAGGGGTAGTGTAAATGGGGCTATAGTATAGCCGCTACTCGGCATCATCACAGGTCGTACTAAACTCTTTTAATGCCATTTATTGTTTTTAGGCTGAGAAGAAGTTCGTGTTGTGAACAGCTGAAGAGATCTGTGAATTGCAAAGCCGGACATGAAGGAAAACCCTCGAAATGAGTCGCTGACAGTAAATATGACGAAGTCTGCTCATGCGCTCTTCGTTATCAAAGAACTGAGCCATAGCTGAACTAGGGGTGTAAATAATAATCGTTTTGTATCGATGCATCGATCCAAAAGCCGACGATACAATGCATCGACACGTCCGCAAGATAATCGATTCATGTTTTTTTTTTTCCTCCGGTCTATTTTTATCCATTTGCTCCTGGGCGTAATTCTCCCTCCCGTGCTGCGGTGCCGCTAAACCTATTTTGCCCTCCTACCCCCCTTCCAGGTTAGACTCTTACAGCAGTTTGTTGCAGTAAG